GGGAGGTCTGTGGTGGAGCACACCCGCTCGGGGCTGGGCTGGTTTTGTTTGCAGCACTGAGCTGCAGCTCCCTTGCCAGAGCTGTTTACTCACCTCCGCCAATGGGACCTCTTGTGACAGGAGCTGCACTCCGAACTAGACCTTATCTACCTGTGGATTTATTTGCTGAAATATGCTCTGCTCCCCAGCTGGAGATATAAACCTCCTGAGCAGCCGAGAGAGAGCAAGGACAGAGGGAAGACAACTTGCAAAGCACCCCGCGCAAGATCATGGAGAGAGAGGACCCCTCACCCAGGTAAGCAGGTGTCTTTTTAAGACAGCCAAGGCTACACCAACCTGCTCCCACATCCCTCAGCTTTTCTGTAACAGAGAGGATAAAGGGGGCATTTATTTTTACCTCAGTCACAAGAGAGGTCCCAGGGAAGTCGTAGACCCAGCCATCCCGGCAGGGACCCAGGGGAACAGTGCTCTGGTTGCCCACGAGGCTGCCGAGGGGATCCGTGCAGCTGACTCCCGTCGTGTTCCAGTCCACCTCGTACCTCCTGCAGCGGCTGCTGAAATCATCTCCGCGGCCGCCCCACTTGGGAACCGTGTGTTTCAGCTGCTCCTCGCGGCTCCAGCCACAGCGCTGGCTCAGCTCAGCCACCCCGGGGATGGAGCAGCGATGCTCAGGGATGAACCCGAAGAAGACGACACCCACGTACACCGGGGTGAAGGCAGCAGAAAGCAAACATAGGACAAAGAAGGTTTGCTTCTGGAACCTGCCAAATTCTCCAATCTGATCTAAAACGTCATCTAGAGTTGGCATTTTGGCATCAAAACCACCTCAAAAATCCCATCTAGGTCTTCTCTGCAGCACTGATAGATTCAGTTGGCAGCAGAGCTATTTAAGTAGCAAAGACATTTGACCAAAAGTCAAAACTAACTCCATAAATTATTAAACTACATGTTGCAAGCTTTATTTTTTAGGTTTCACTAGGAAATCAGACCTTAATTCACCCAGGAAGAATTTACATTTAACCCCTCAGCAGAGCACGTACGTTTGTTTTCACCAGAAAAGCCACTAACAGCCACAACATTTCTTTTTTTTCTTTAATTAGCCAAACCAGCTCCTCAAATAAGAAGCATTATGAGGAGCAACATGCAAGCAAATGAAAAGTTTAGTGTAGCAGTTGCTGGGTACCACATGTGAACAAGGCTTATCAACGGAGTTCTATAAAGAATAGGTAAGTACATGTGAAACACAAGTGTCTCTACATCGAGCCATATAAGAGTAAAGGAAGAGCTTTCCTGCAAGCTCCTGTATGTCTCATCCTTGCAGCTACCTTCACCCTCCACACTCCTCCACTTCCTGCACCACATCAGGGAACACAATTTTGACCTGACCATATTTTTGCCATGATACAAAAGATAAAAAGCATTCACTGAGAAATTGTGCACTGGGAATAGCTTTGGGAAGCCATAATATAAAATACTTATGGACAAAACAGCTATTTTTTACCATAGAAGACCAGTAAGACTTTAGGTAGACTTCATTGTGGGGCACCCCAAAAAAACTCCAATGCTCCACTGGTACTTCATGCTGTCTGTTGATAGACACTTGCTACTCCAACACCTTTTGCTGACAGCAGCTGCTTCCATCAGAAAGAAAAGCTAAGTGAAAGTAACATTTTAAAGATTGGGAAAATGGTCTGGAGAGTGACTTGCACAGTTTAGCCAACCAGGGGGAAAAAAAAAATACATAAATAAAGACCCCCTTCTTAATACACTCCAGAAAAATAAACCAGCTTAGAAGGCCATTCTGGCCTGGGGACAGAAACAGAACCAGTTCCTCGCCGGGTCTGGCTGCCCATCAGCCAGCAGAGCGAGAGCAGCCTAACCAGCTGTGAAAGCTGCGTTGTGGACCAGCACTCCAAGATCATCCCCGGCATGACACAGATGTGCTGTGCCCCCTCCTCTCCTCCAGCGGGAACAGCTACAGCAAGGTAGCCACTGCTCCTCTCCCGGGGCTGCTTACGGCAGCGTTACACCAGCCCCAGCACATCACCCCACACACACCAGACTCGCCTCTGTGGCTGCAGGGGCTCCACATGGAGCTGGGGATGGGGACATGCAGGTGCCCTGCAGCCACCCCGCTCACAGCCAGCCCCCACAGCCTCCCTCAGCGGGAGGATGTGTACAGTCTGCTGAGGTCAAGGAAACCAAAAATCAAAGCCTGCCTTGGAAGAAGGTGAGGTTTAAAGCCAGGAGGCTGTATCTTAAAAAACACACCCCAAGCCCCTCACGTTGGGGTTTTGTTTAAAAGTTCCACATGAACTACAGAAAGTTAGATCCAGAGTGGGCCTTTTTTTTCTGATTTCCCACCCCCCTCTCCCCAGTCCAGAGAGGGGCTGGGTGGCACTGTGCCATGTGGGTGGGCATCTTAGCCCCTCCTTCCCAGGGAGCCATGCTGCTGCCATGCATGGTTTCTGCTCCTGGTCCCACCATTTGTACATGCTCCTCTGGTCCCCACTGTTCTCCTATCCCTTCCCTCCCTAGGGTTAAGCAGGGTATTCTACCAGAAAAATAGTTTGGAGAAGCAAGTCGTGCATCCAAGATAAAATTCAGCCAGCCTACCTACAAATGCTTAGATAAAAAGTGTGCGATAGATCCAAGACGAGGCACTGAATTCACTCACCACTGCCAGCTGCATCTTAGAAACACACACTGATGTTGCTCAGTTAAGCACCCCCAGGCAGAGTACCTCTGTTCTTCCTAAGCCTTGTTCCACACAGTCACAACAAAGAGACCATGTGGCGTTACACCTTCATGCGTGGGAAGCCATTTCACACAGCAGCTCACGGATCACAACTCCACAACGCCAGCCCTCAAGAGCTGGGGAAGGGAAGAAGCCTCCTTCAACAGCCACTGAGGGAACTCTTGCAAGGGTAACTGACAGTATTAGAAATACACTGTCAAGCCTCTCATTTCCCCAAATTAGCCTAATGTTAATATGAAAAGTGCTGCTTTTGCTTTAAGTATTACACGTCTCATCTTTAGATTAACTGATTTACAGCTTCACTGGTAACAATATAAGAGGGAGAAATCCCAAGTCTGATAAAAGAAAGAATACACCACTGGGGCTTACCTACATATCCTGATCTTTGTCATCAAACATCAGTTCTCCTTTTGAGTGATCTGATTAAAATTAAGAAACATGTAGATGTGGTGCTTAGCGACACGGTTTAGTGAGTTAGGTGGTGTTGGGTTGATGGTTGGACTTGATGATCCTTGAGGTCTGTTCCAACCTTAATGATTCTATGATTAACCCTCACAACAAAAAAGGTATCACCAGGCTGATGAGCAGCATTCCAGACTAGTGTAAGAAGGATTCCACACTTGAGATGTGGGATTTGGAATACCCACTTCATATCTTTTATTGAAATTGCTGAATAGTTTATATCACACTATTTTGATTCAAAATGGAGTTTTTTATAAAAAGAAACCATTGTTGAAACTGAATAAGCCAGCCAAAAGGAACAATGAAAAGTTTAAAAAAATTCTGACCGACGCATGTACTTTTACAATGCTTTGAAATCCCATCATTGCCCATAAGTTAACTTAGGAAACACCTGGAGAACAGCAAGACTGCTGGAGGAATTTTGACTTGCATTCATTACCAGCAACATTTCAAATCAATGACCATGGCCAGGACTGTAGCATAAATAAGAGCTAGAACTTAGGCTATCAGAAAACATTGCCCAATTTTTTTTCTTGTAATTAATACCAGAGAGAGATACTTTGCTGACTAGGGCTCCTCTAGTTGTTGGGCTTTTCTTGGTGATGACAAACTGGGCACTGCAAGCTGTGTTCTAGGAATTCTATGTTCTTGAAAACACTGGTTGTCTGTGCAGTCAACCTAGTCCAGCCATAATCTAGGAAGAAATCTTTGGGTGCTTATCAGCTGCTTAGGCAAATACTGATGAAATCAGTCATATGACCAGAAAAAAAAAATCATGCAAAGAACAGCAACCATTTCAGGCTAAAGCTATACAGAGCTGTACCTTTCAGTCAATACCTTTAAACCAATGATCTGTTTAAATTAGATTGGATATTCAAATTTACAGGATAAATTAGACCAGTTCCAAAATTTACAATCAAATCATCCCAACACACAAAAGCTATATTTGTCCTTGTCTTACAATGGATGAATCCATAGAATAATACCCTGCCGGCAGGAAGAACGTGTTGCTATTAAGCAAACCTGAGTAGTGAGGATCAATAAATACAAGGAGTTAAAATGCTAGTAGTCAGATAACTTGAGTCTCAGGAGCCAGGGTCTTCATGGAGCCTTAATCCTTTCCTTTCAAAGGCTTATTTTTTTTAAGCAAGCACTTAACATCTATGCTGAGGCTTAAAAAAAAAGTGTCCTGGCTAGAGAGAGTCAACATAACTCAGCCAACTGGATGTTAGAAATCCAGTCATTACTGAACAGATCATTGTAAACAACCAAGGAATCCTTCTCTTCTTCCCTTTTCAATGGTTTCTTGTTAAAGGCAAAATTCAGAAAAATCTTTCAGGCTGAAGTCCTCATATTTGGTTGGAAATGTTGTCCTGTTATATATCATCTCTCTATATATATTTGATTAGGCACAAGAGGGGTTATTAAACATTCAACAAGTCCTCATCACTATCATCATGAAACAATACTGTATTTGTAGAGTTCTGTGCCTGTTGCTGGCCTGGCGTGGCTTTTGCTTTCCTTTCCTTTCCCCCATTCAGCAAATAAGCTTTGTCATCACTTCGAAGACTGGGTGGCTTCTTTTGTTGGTGCCTGCTCTTGTCTAGTCCTCTTCCTGTCTGAATCTTTACATCCGGAATGGTTAACACTTCATCCTCACTGTCCAGGTCATCCACGTGGAGAGAGGTAAAGGCTCCAGATGTAACAGACTTGGTAGTAACGTGACCATTCTCCTGGCCTCCTTTTGCTGTTCTTTGATTTGGTGCTCCAATTTCCTCCATAAGCCACTCTGTTTCATTCTCATTAGCTTCTTCCTCACTGTTTATCTGCAAGAAAAAAAAAAATTGCAAGAGGAGACTGTGTATACCACTCTGCCACATGCTGATGTCCCTAGTTGCCAGACTCCACACCACACATGGCCTCGGGTTTAACTTTGTCGTAACATAGTAATACTGCAATAGTATGCTGTTACTCTCACGTTTCACTATGTCTGAAACAGACTTTATCTTCCTGTACATTTCTGTGTTATTTCGCTATTTATGGACTGCTCTTCATTTCCTCAACTCTATCTTCCTTTCCCATTTCACAATGTAAATGTAGATATCTCAGCTATATACAGCTTTCCTGAAGCTACACAGTATGGTTTCCATGCACTGAAGGAACTAAGAATTAAGGGAGTTTATTTATTAATAAAAGCTTCATGTTAAGAAAACGTGACAAGAAACAAAGCCTTTGATTTTGCCACTGTATTACCTTTGTGTATTTGTAGGAAACACCGGATGTTCTTCTGCAGCAGTTTGTTATCTTGCTTATTACGATTTCCCTAAGGAAGGGAAAGAATACTGCATTAGGGAGACTGTATCCCTGCTTTTTATCCCTCACTCTTCTTCACTGGACTTTTACCCTCAACACAAAGCATTTCACCAAGCAAGCTGCAAGCTATTGCATACTGACACTTAACCCTGAAGCACTAACAAAATTCAGTCCACGATGATGTACATCTTCCCCCTCACCACAGCTTCAGGGTGACTGTTCTGAAACACCTCCGGCCTTTATGTCTAAGGGGAAAAAGCCAAACTTGTCTGGAAAGCAGAGAATCAGCAGGATTTGCACTTGTTCCTTGCTGCTGTTGTATGGTTCCAGCTTGATATCATGAAAGGAAAGGGGTATCAAATACTAACAATATCATCACAATGTTTTATCCTCCTTAATTAGCAGTTGTCCACAGTAGAGACTAGCCCAATTCAATTGTGTACATGGGCCTTCAGACAGTAATGGGGAATTTGAAAAAAACAAGAACAAAACCAGAAAACAGCAGTTTGACAGTTGATGGTGTCAACTGAAAAACAGAACTTAAATGTCTGAAGTTCACTACTTCCCTTTCACTGAGGAAACCAAATCCTACCAAAGAAACTTCTAAAGCCTCCCAATCATTTCTTACCTCCTCTCTTTTTTGTAGAACAGCAATATTATTAGGCATGCAGTGAGAACAACCAGGAGGACGCTCAGCACAGCACCAACAGCCTGACTTCTCCTTGAAAGGCCTTTATGCACTTGGGCCTCCTTATCAGTCTGGTGTTCATTGCTTCCTGGATCACGGGTTGATCTAATAACATAAATTGGGAAGAAAAGGATGAGTAAGATCTATCGACCAGTTGTATCAAACTGGATTAGAAACAGCAGGGTCAAAGAGATTAAACATGTCACACCATCTTGTCAGTCCTAGCTAACAGTTATAGAGAACTGAATTTAGGAGATTTCATTCTAAGTAAAAATCACTGAAAAAAAAAAAAAAAGTATGTTGTATGTACTGTGCCTACATTCTGGTATGCTTTGAAACAGTGTATAAGACTGATCACAGTCAAGACTGAAGTGCATGATCAGGCACTCCAGAGCTTATACAGCAGCAGCTATCCACATACACCAAAAAAAATTAATAGCAGTATTTTAGAATCAAACATGTACCTGAGCAAGCTGCAAAAGCTATAGCAATTATTTACCTTCCAGCTGACTACGGCACTACACAGACCAAGCTCCTGCAATAGCTAACTGCCTGTTTAACCCAGAGTAAACAGTCTCCCTGCGTTTTCATGCTAGCAGCCAGAAAGTGAACAGTTCTAGAAGTAGTCACTCCCTTCTTCTCAGTGAGGTTGCCTACATGTCAAGAATGCTGGTAAGCACGTAGATACATTCACTCTGCGTTTAACACTGTCACCTCCTTACTCCTTTTTGGATCTGTACAATAAGCAGATCATAATTAATTGCAGAAATACCTCATTATTCCTCTAAGACCTGTAATGATTTTTACTCCAGCCCAAAGAAGTGGGCAGAAACAGGGGAATGCCAGCCTTTGCCATGGTCAAAAAAACCTTACCCGAAACCTGGTTACTCCTCTCAGTAACACGAAACAGCATGTTGTCCGCTACAGCAGGTTTCACTTAGTGAAAACAATACTAATTCCACCACGCCTCTCCATTTCCCATGCAAACAAGCAGCTTTAGGTCCAGATCAACTTGACGAGCTTTTATTTAGTGCTCATGTGCCAAACGTTACATACATGAACACCAATTCCATCTATCCATGAGCCTACTGCTTTTTTAGCTTTACCTTTTTTCACCATCACTTTGATGAACAAATACAAAAAAAAGGCTTTAGCGGAGAAGTGCTGACAAGAGCTGCTTTTAGAAAATGGTTAACTACTCACATTAATGGACACACAGCAGATGTGTACCAGGTAAATAAATACTGGCAATCTGCTGTCTCATGGAGGAATTCAGGGATGCCTTCCTTTACTTCTGGACTGCAGTGGAAGAAAATGGTTGAAGACACAAACTTTGATTTATCTTTACCACATCTGGAGTCTGATGAAAACGTGACATCCAAGTCATCATCTACAATGAGAAGAAAACCTTATAGCGTACTACTTCCTTGAGAACAGTCTATTAACACTAGACCCTGGAACGTTACGAATTCATTCTGTAGTAACAGCTTACACTTTGCAGTATCTACAGGTGAGCTTATACTTTCACATAGCTGATCCCATCAGTTGCTACAGAACAGTGGGCTAAGTGCTTCACAAGAAAGAGTAGCAAAGTGTCAAGCCCAAAGCCTATTAAGGCCGCACTGGCAACTAGGCTTACACAAAGAAAAATACAACCTAAATTCTCCTAGACAGACTCTGGATACCTTTACAGAAATGGATTAGTACAGATGTTGTGAAATAAGAACTGTTTTCTGACAAAGCAATTCACATGGAGTATCAAGCAATTCTGGCTAGTGAACAAGTACTTACCCTTAACATAATATTTAGCTTTTCTGGCAGAACCAATTCTCCGAAAGCGATGTTCATTAGTTTTAACCTGGCAGATGTTTGCTCCAGAGCATTCTGAGATGCTTGAGTTTCTTATACCAGAAAGTTGAATTTCATATACATATTTATCGCCATTTGTCCGTATGTCACCAGAAGCCATGTACAACCTGGAAACAGAGAGCAGGCCTATCCTTAAGTCAAAACTCTCAGATTTAGGTTATTCCCAAGACATAAGACTGGCAACAGTGGTAGCTGCTACCACTGGTTGATTCCAGAGTGAGCTGGAGTGACTGATTCAGCAACCAGAAGAGATGCAGGACTGAGGCTTCCTCCCTGAACATCCAAAGTGAGGATTATATTTAGCATAAATATAATCTTTCTAAGAAAGCACAAAAAGCAAACTTTTCTAGTTAGACTGCCCTCAATGGGTGCATGAACATGGAAACACCTCCAAAGGATTAAGATAAACTGGAGACAGAAGCATGATTCAGCTGCTCATACACAAGCTAGCCTACTGACCATAAGAAGCATACTGTGTGCTCTGTAGCTAAGACACACAGCGTAGCTTAGCTGTCTTTTCCAGAAGCGTAACTAGTTCTACCAGAAATGTTACCTGTGTGCCATTTACAATTGTATCCTTTCACACTGCTGGTCAAGAGTGAGAACGCTCAGATTCACAGCTATTTGTTCTACCCACCTGCTCAGAGGCTGAGCTTGCTCAAATACAAATTGCCTTTAATCCCACGTTACACCAAGTTTTTAATTTTGTCTTGACTTCCTCCCCTCCTGCATCCAGGCCTGTTTCATTTTTGTGTTTTCTCTATGCTTGTAATGCTATCACCACATTTGCACAGCAGGTTTATTCGCACTTTTGCTCAGTTACTCCAATCCTGCACACTAACCGTTTGTGCCCTGCAAGCAAAGTTTATTCTTCCCATAACACTAGTATGGGCAGACTTCATTCCACAACACTAGCAATGATGTTAAATATAGTAGTTCATAAGAGATTCTGGAACAGTTATGTGCAGTACAGTCAGTGTAACTGGTGGTCTTCCCCTGCCTCTCCTGAGTTTAGTCATGCTTGACCATTCCTCCTGAGCTCTGTTTCTTCACTTCTAAGGCTTTTGAAGCATGGGTTCCTACTTCCATACGGATCGTCTGAGCAGGACAAAAAAGGTGCTACGTAAAAAGCCAAGGAGTACCCTAAGTGAACACAAAATCAAGTTCCCTGGCACTGAACCCATGTCTACACACTATAGAAGAGAGCAATAACCCACAACAGAGAGATGTAACATCAGTGTATGTGCAGGCTTCAGACTAGTCTTGAGTACACCTGGACATGCTCATAGCTACAAGCCCAGCTGGGAGCTGCACTATTAATCAGGCATTTAAGGCAGTCACTGGTACAAGGTGAATTCAGTGCTATTTCCACATGACAGCTAAGAACTGCTAAAGCAACATAAAACATTTACACCAAGCTCTTTTCTTGCAGTGCAGTTCTACAGGACTAAGGTATTATGGTTTTTGTTGTTGTTGGGGTTTTGTTGCTTTGGGTTTTTTGGGGGGAAGTTGTTGTGGGGTTTTTTTACTTACTTGTAATAAACATCCCCTAAAGAGAAGTTTTTCCCAGTTGCAGGATTAATAACTGTTCCGTTCACCACCTCCACCTCCTGCTGCTTCACAGCACAAGCTGCACGTGTGTCCCAAGTGATGTAGTAAGCACAGTTTTCTTCATCAATCCTACCAAATAACAGACACAAGTGATGATTCTGGAAAATGTACTAACAAGTGCTTAGTATCTTGACAAAAGGAAGACACATGGCTGCTAACCCACATGTGGGAATGTCCTGCCTAACCATCATGCTGAGAGTAAGCTACAATAGTCAAGTAGTACTCAAAAAAAGCTACTTGAAAACTTGCACTACAATTTTCCACAGTTTCAAGACTTTGCTGCACTTAAACTTCCTACTTCGAAAGTTCCAGAAGTCACACAGTGTATCAGAAGGTTTTATGGAAATATTTTAGCCAACAAACATGTCACGCTGCTCTTGGCAGGTTTAACATGCTGCACATTATTTAACTAGGACAAGGAATACAGGCTAGTCAGATTTTGCTACCTTGTTCTTTGACTCATACAGAGCATCTTGCTCAGTTTCCCAGTTCTACATTAACCAAATCAACACTGAGCTAAAAGCCATCAACCTTTCTCAGTATTTGTGATCTTGCTTATATACCTCACTTTAGACAGCTTCTAGTTAAATAATCTGTATTGAGTCAACAATAAACCATGCGTTATTAGCTCAGTCACTTATCTACAGTAAGTGTTCTCTACTACACAGACTTGAGTAAAGTTAAGCGCAGTTGTACTACAATTGACATTGAAAATGACAGCATCTCAGCCATGGTCGGATCTAATTTGGAAGTAGAATCCTTGAATTTTTGCCCAGCAATTTTATAAATAAATAGAGACTATAATTGCTTATGGAAGTGAACAGGTGCAGAAACTCCAGAAGATCCACATCTCACAAGTACAGACCAAGGATTATTTTAGGAACTGTCCAACAGAATGGTTAGTCACTGTCCTGAGACTTAAGAGCTTACTAGAGAGGTACAAAGGAATAAACCATGAACAATGGTACATTCATTCATTACTCACCTCTGCAGCATGGGCAAGCCAACAGTTTTTGCACACTTCAGTTCTATAACTGTTGTTACTTTCTTGTTTTTCCTACACTCCTGCCCACTGGAATAACTAATATACACTGTATCACCTAGAAGAGAAAAATGGTGACACTCGAGGTTTTTGTAAGCAGCTGCCAGAAATTCCCTTTACCCATTCTCCAGACTTCATTACTTTAGATTAACTTCTAGGATTTTTTTTCCCCTGCATAGACCCTGTATCAACTACAGCACTTCAGTAATTTGATGCCTTCACACTGATGATCATTTTAAAAAAAATAAAAAAAATCACTCCTCAAACACCTTTGTATTTACATTGTACCACGTGTTCCGCTCACCAAAATGGCCTTTATGAATGTTTACATTTAAGATGTCATCTTTCAAACATAAGAGTAAGTGCAGGTCCTAGAATGGTTTGGGTTGGAAGGGACCTTAAAGATCATCGAGTTCCAATCCCCCTGCCATGGGCAGGGACACCTCCCACTAGCCCAGGTTGCTCAAAGCCTCATCCAGCCTGGCCTTGAACCCCTCCAGGGATGGGGCATCCACAGCTTCTCTGGGCAACCTGGGCCACTGCCTCACCACCCTCACAGTGAAAAATTCCATCCTAATATCTAAATCTACCCTCTTTCACCTTAAATTGGTTAGCCCTCATCCTACCGCTACACTCCCTGATGAAGAGTGCCTCCCCATCTCTCCTGTAGCCCCCTTTAGGTACTGGAAGGCTGCTATAAGGTCTCCCCAGAGCCTTCTCTTCTCCTCTTACAAACAAACTCAGGCAATAAACACATGCAATACATCCCATTGTTTTTGTTGCTGGATGGAAGATTTCCTTCAATTTCACAAACTCAGCAGCAATTTTAAAAATATTCTTTAAAGTGAAAACTTGAGTAAGGTTGGATTTTTTTATTCATTTTCTTAAGAGTGAAGCAAATCAGTGATCTTTCACATGCTGCTTTAATTGAAGAAGTTAGTGGACATAGAACAAGTCTTTTAAAACAGGATGAACAAAAATAATTTATCCACCCACAACTATAGAATCACAGACTGGCTGGGGTTGGAAGGGATCTCTGGACATCATCTGGTCCAAACCCCTTGCTCAAGCAGGGCCACCTGGAGCCACCTGACCAGGACCACATCCAAACAGCTTTTGAATATCTCCAAGGTAGGAGACTCCACAATCTTTTGGGGCAACCTGTGCCAGTGCTCAGTCACCCTCACTATAAAAAAAGTGTTTCCTGATGTTCTGATGGACAATTCACTTCTTACAGCTTTAATGACAACAACACTGTTTATTTGCTTCAATGTTTCTCAGGGCTTAAAAAGCACTTTTAAGTTTGAGCCGTAGCATTTACTGTTTTTGTTTTTAAACAGAAGTTTCACTGTTAAAGATATTTTGAAATAAAGGCTTCACCATAACTTAAGAACCACTATAGCTAGGTTGTAAGATTTAACTGTCTCTACAGAAACAAAAGTAACTCTACCTGTCACATTCAGCTTCTGTGTATGAACAAGTCCAAGAACTTGAACATCTCCATTGCTGCTTTTCCTGCAAACACTGGCTCTTTCAGGGCAGCCTGTTGGTCCCTCGTGTACCCTCTGACAGAGATTCATGTAGTACCTACAGAGAACATGGTAGACAAAATCTTAAAACTTAAGCTAAACTGAAAAAGTGAGATACAAACTTTAGAATCCTCATGGGAAGCTAGCCAGGTTGAAAGAAATTAAATAACTTGAATTAGCTGACAGAACAAAGCAGGTACTAAGGCTTGGCAGGTCACTTCTAACTATCATTTTCAAGTAAATGAGACTGTGCAAAAAACCTGTCACTTATCAAATTAGTTCACTAGTTAGTTTTGACCTAGGTCAAAACTAGAAACTGGAACTGAGTCAAGATATACCCAAAAGCTTTTTCAGTTATAAAGGTTATAGTACTATCCTAAATTCAGCACCTCTTTGGAGCTTTACCAATTAAGTTTTATTAGAACAGAGGAACTAGTAGCAAGGTGGTGAACAAAAGTTTTGTTACCCCACAGTTTATCGTAAGTTTAGAATTTAGATGTTCTTATCCTTGCCAGTTCATTTCTATTTGCTAACTGGAGGAGGAAGACTAGAGAGGTTGATGACTTTCTGACACTCACATTTTCCTCCGAGTTGATACTTAGAGGAACGGAGGGGAAAAAAGCCCTACTTAAACTTCAGACAAGAAGTTACACACTTGACTCAGAAGACAGCAACTAAATCATTAAGATTTTTGTTCAACACGATTAAGAATCCAGAAAATTTGACTTAAAGTACAAAATGACTTTGTTAAGATAACATTTTTAATAGAAAGCCTTTAAATAGCTTTTAGTTTAGACTTATTCATCCTTTAAAAACAGTTACCAATAAAGGGAAGGGGTGAGGGTGAAGACAGTAATTATTCATCCTCTTCAGTTAAAATGGGTTCCTTGCTTTGTCTATATGCAGTGTTAAGCATTGACAGTTTTAAGACACTGTTAGCAATTTAAACAGACTCTGAACGGGGACCAACCAGAAGTATCATGACACATTACACCTTCAACTGTATTGATTAACAAGCTACTCCCTGGGAGTTGCTCATTACTCACGAGCTCCCATTGTGGAAAAAGATCCATGATCCCGTCAGGGAAGAGAGCATTCTCAAGTCATAAGTTCTGTGCTTGTGGACAAACTTGCACTCCATCTTCTTGGGAGGACAAACAGCCTGAGTCCTCCATTCAAATGTCACAGCACAGCCAAGTGTCTCACTCAGAAGGTATGGTGTCCCAACACCAGCATTTTCATCACATGTGAAGATAATGGTAGATTCCCTTCTTCCAGTTGCTATAAGAGAGAAGGTTGGAAAAAAAGGAAAGTAATATTTTGCAAGAGGCTTTCAGGCATGTATGGATTTTAGTGTACCAATTTTTCACTATCAACTAAAATTTTAATCAGATATTATTTCAGACAGATAAGAAGCACTAATGCTTTACCAAGCAATTTTATTTCCTACGTTAGCTTTCATGCTTTTTAGAAAGTAGTGTTCCTTCCAAAACAAATCATCTCCATCAAAGCACAGTCATCACTTATGGCTTGAACACTCACTAAAGGCATGAACTTTTTAAAGTATTTTACTCACTTACTTGAGTAAAGTCAGGTTTGTCCCATAGACTCCTTGTCTTGCCCACTCCTATCCCTTTACTTCCATTGTATTACACCAGAGGGCTTTTGCCCAGCCTGATAATGGCTAACTCCCTGGGTCAGTTCAGATACTTGCATATGAAGCATAGGAAGTTCTTACCATTACCACAAAATCCCCACTTTCCATCTCCCTGGTAGGTTTCAGTTGTAGCACACCACGGCCTATTCCTTTCTTCTGTAATACATCCCTCATAGGTCTTCCCTTTGTACTTGAAGGGGAACACACAGAGCTCTCCCTTTTCCGTCACTGAGAAGAAAAGATATATCCTCTCAATAATGTGCAGCAGGATAGCAGGCATATCCATATTCAGGACCACATCCAAAGCCTATACTTCAATACTAAAGAAAACCCACAGGCAGACAACAGAAATACTGAAACATTAAGTCTAAACCCAATTAGAAAACTAGGATGTAGTGCACAATTAGCTATGATCATCCCTACAGAAAAGTTGCATTTTCACTTCTAGGAGACACATGTTGATGGTGCGTATTATTGTGATGCATATGATTTAACAAAACTACGTGTTTCTATTAATGTATGCAAAATCCATGTTGTCTCCCTCCTACTGTAACAAAATCTCATGTTTTAAGGGTAAAAAAAGCTGACAAGTTTTTACATAAAGGATGGGTCTGCTTCAATCTCACCTGGAGGGCATCGATCACCTCCTGTGTACTGTAAGATGACCGTTTCATCCTGGTGGCTATAGTCCATTTTCATTTCCTTTACGTTTCCAAAAGATGACACACTACTTCCAGATGTCAGACACACTGCCCCATCTTTGCATTTTCCCTGGGGTAAGTCTGCTGCCTTACTGCATACACCAACATGGTAACTGTTGGATCCAGAAAGGACCTGCATGGACATCCAGAAGCATCACAAACAAGGTTGCCTCACAGCCTGCAGTCAATACTTACAAAGAACCACCCCAGTACTCTATAAACCAAGTCTCATGCAGTACTTGAATAATGCAGGTGGAAAAGAAGATAATTTCGCCTTCCTTAATATAGCAAAACTGCAGATAAAGTACACCCACAGGGCCAAGGATACAGTAATTTGAGCCGACTTGTTTTCATGTTCAGGATTCTGCCACAGGTGATGATTTCTCCATCAGTACATCCATGAATTTCCCTCTCAAAAACATTAAAAATCTAATGTTATGCCCTCTAATATTACTCCCTCTGCCACAGGGCAAACAAATATCAACACAGACCACGTCACTCTCCTCTCACACCCCAAGATGCTTAGAAGAAACCCCTGTTTGAGTCTTAAAGTATTGATAACAAGGGGTAATTAAAAAAAAAAATTAAAAAAAAAAATCACACCACCAGAAGGCATTACCTTGAATGATCTTCCAGAAAGGCTGGTCAGGTTAAAAGTATAGTGTAGCTGTTCATCAGTCACAGAGCAGCCTAAAGTTTTCACTTTATCGGGACACACAACCGGAGTTTCCCACTCAAACACAAAACTGCAGTCAAGTCTCCTTATCATCTTTGGCTTGCCCTGTTACCCAAGAGGACAGCAAGATATATTAGGTTTAATTTTTGGAGTTTATTGTTCTTTCTGCATTTCCCCCCACTGGCTCCAACAGCTAACCTCAGTTACTACCAAGGCTAGACTTTAGTGACCATAGGACAAACACCGTGCCTTCACATTACCAGCAGTACCAAAAAAGCTATAAGTGAAGCACATTCTAGCCAGCTCCAGAAAACAATCAAAGCAGTAGTTGAAGTACATAAACTTTGTAATCTCAGATAGGGTTGAGATTGTGATGTTCAGCTTAGTTGGAAGCAGCACTGAAAATGTGAGCTGTGCTTCTCCATGGAAGAGAACATTAAGGAAGGCCACTGAGTTAAGGTCTAGACAGTACACTGTTTCCTTTGTCATATTTTAAATAAAAATATGAGTATGGCCTGTGTAATACTCTGAGCTGCCTAGAATTTCAGCTCATGCCCCATGTTGATGAAAAATTGTTTCACTGAGTATCTTCAACAAGCTCTAGCTTGTCAAACATCATACCCAAGTCCTTCTCTACAGTTTGTTAACGCATTCAAAAAATTCAAGTGTTAGATTCACACCACCATGCAACCTCAATTTAGTGTTCAGGTGTCAACATAAGATAAAAACCTAAGTATCTAAATGCAATTTTTTAAAGCTCTGTATGATTATGGAAAGGGTTACAACATGGGGGAAACATTTCACAGTAACAGCTTTACAAACAGTTACACTGGTTCTTGTGTTAGCTTGTGGCACAAGTACAGCTTTTGGACCTAAACAAGGTGCAATACAGCAGTAAGTCTAACGCCAGCAATAAGTTATCACTACACTACTTCACTGGAATCTGATCCTTGAAACCATCAGAACCTGCTCCTCTCAAGTGTAAAGTTCATGCACTCTATGAAATTTTGCCTGGTTAAGAACACAAAGTATAGTCCTTTTTGTAACAAGTCCATCCTTAGATGTTAGAAACAAATCCTTGATTTAAACAAAGCTAACACTGGTTACTCCCCACTTCCCATTGCACTCCAATATCAATATAAGTTCAATAGATGTCTTACCAGACTAGTTCCTTGGCTGCAGTGAAATACAATAAGAGAAGTATAGTTCAATTTGTTGTTTATCTGACAAGGAGTAGTGCTGTTGTAAGTGATGTAAACTTCATTTACTGCCTCGTTTAACTTGGGAGATTCAGTAACACGACCAATATCCTACACAAGCAAAAATATGTATTAAGAGATATACAGGACACATCCAGATTTGAGATCAGCCCAGAGATACAGATAAATTCAGATTCATGTTTGGTTTACATGGGAGCACAACTATCGCACTTTTGAAAACTGCGTTCTGTACTCAAAGAACAGTTGTTATATTCCAATCCTGACAAAGCACAAGTCAAGCAGCTCAAAACCACTCTTTGATTAAGCTTGACAAAAGCCAGGGAGGTTCTGAATCTTACAGGTACATTCTTCTTTAAGTCATTGTGCCAAAACACCAACACATCACTTAAAAATGCTATAGTATTAACAATGGAGTAAGGTCCCTAGATCAATGTGGAAGTTCATGGAAAACAATCTCAACTTTTTATGTGCATCTTCGACAGCTCACAAGCAAGACTTCAAAAGGTAAGAACCTCCATCTCTCAAGGTAATAACACTGACAAGTTAAACAATATTGTGTCACAGATTTGCTATTCATGCAGACGTCAATGTCTTACATGAAAGTACTAAATGCGTTTTGGAGCATATCCTGCAACAGGCTATCACGGGATCAAGCAAGCCATTTCTGTGCCACAGAATGGCAGACTAAGAGGCATTCTGCTTCCCAGGCTCCGTATCTGGCGCACAGCACTATGTGAAAATATTCTCTGTAGTAATTTTTCATAATTGTCACAGTATGGAATCTTCTGACACCCAAAAAAAATCATTCGAGTTCAGCATAGGAAATACTTCTTCACAGGGAATAGCAATGAAAGGGAATTTTGCAGAGTAGATTTAAATTTTGTATTCCATTTCTTTAACCCATTGTCAAGCCTCTGGTTCAAATCAGGTCTCTAGGCAGGAATACTGTTTTAAGCTATCAAGGAAATGCATATTTCAGTGACTCCAGGCATAGTACTTACTATTGGTGATTCACTAACAGGAACCATGCAAACAGCCGCTCCAGGTGGGCAATTGACATCTTTGATAGGATTGAGAGGCTCACAGATGTTGATGTAGAAGTCTGGAGAAACTTCTGTTGCATCTTCATCCACAAATGCCTCATAATACCCAGTGCGATGGATCAGAGGAGTCAGGTCAATAACAGAACTGCCATTCAATACTGAGCACTTCACCTACAAGAAAGTATGTTTTATTGCTATTATTACTACTTGCTTGGGTTTATCAACAAATATCCTGTCCTTCATTAGGGCCCTAAATGCAGCTGCATTTAAAAGTTCAAACTTGATTTAAACAAAGCAGCATTTGTTCCAATTTTTGTTTGTCTACAGATACTAAGTACCTACAAGCTGCATATAAAAAACCTCAATCATTTAAACATTCTTACGGAATGGAGTCCATATCAGAACAACACTAAGACGTAAAGCTCTGGCATGCATACTCCAGCAGACATAGTCACTATGTCTTCATCAAATCAGTAAATCCTACAATTCCATCCTCTCCCCACCTCCCACACATCATTGGACTACCTCCCATAAACAAGCTTGGTTATAACAATCTAAAGTGACTGTATTGCAAGTTGATGGCTCAGGTTCTGAGGAAACACAGTGCTCATTTCATGCATTCTTAAAGTGTATAAGCTTACTGACAGCCTACCTGGAATTAGGGAAGTCTATTCTTGTTTAGATATTAGATAAGGGGCAACTAACAAAATTACCTTTTAATTTCAGGACAAATAATCATCATTGCTACCTAGCTATCGTCACACTGAAACAGCTAGGGTCACTGTGGATACATTGTGAAAAGTGATCAGAAAAGCACAAGTGATCACTGAACAGAGTTAACAGGCTAGAAAACACAATGGTTTTGGGCACCGTTGATTTGTATTGCAGCATGGTACATACTACTGAAGAGGAAACCAGAGCTATACGTTGCAAGACTCTTACAAAAGAAGGAAGGGATGTGTAACAGTTCCTGTTGGGGAAAGAAAAACTAGAAAATGTTTTTCCTGAATGAAAGTGAGAGTTATAGCAGTATTGAGACACCTATGAGACGGAAAAACAACTTGTCACGGAGAATGATGGTCGAACTGGAAGTAATGATCAGGCAGATTCACAGAAGGTAATGTTCAGGCATTAAGCGAAAATCTGAATTTACCCTACAGCTCGTTTAGCCTTCTGTTCCTATTGCTGGCTTTTACTCTG